TACTAATACTTTAATTAATTCTAGACGAATACACCAACTTCTATCATAATACCATTTTTTGAAATGGTAATTCAGGTTACATTATCTTAGCCACAACATTTAAATCATCAAAATGCTTCATGTGTACATTGTGATCAACGTAGTCAACATTATGCTAGTGATGAAGAAAAGGAAAAAAAGAAATAAATACTGAAGTTATTTTTGTTAAAGAAGAGAAATCTGCCGTTCCTCAATGGTTTAATAATATTAAGGAGGAGGACACACCCACTCGACGAGAATGAGATTATTGAACACACTTCATTTAAAGGTACAACAACAATAACTGAAGAAACTACTATGTCAACGCATCCGCCAACGGTTTCGTTTATACCATCTCTTCATGCATTTGATTCTCATACAGTAACATGGCAGTCGTATCGAGACAAGATCAGCTTTTATTTTCACGCCAGCCGCATCACTATGGATAGTGATAAGAAAGCATTATTTCTATGGTCTGTAGAAGATCGAACCTATCAGTTATTGAAATGACTAATTTAACCACGTTCAAGGAACTAATCCAGCCACTAGATGGTGATTGTGATATAAGGAAAAATATAACGATGTCTATGTCTGATTTCTACTCTTGTTATCAAAAATCTGGCCAAACTTTCATCGAATGGAAAGCAGAACTCTGTGAAAAAATGCGTCATTGTGGTTTTACATCATCTGTTCATGCAAACAAAACCTCAGGGACGTGCCCTGAGAGATATATATGATATGGGAATTAAAAGTCCAAAGATCTGTCAAGCCTTGTCGAAAGAACTAAATCCGGCCTTAGAAACAGTCGAGAAAATAATTCAACATGATATACGATATTTCAACTATTATATCAATAAAAGTGATTTTACTGTAGCCAAAATATGTAGTAATCAACATAAACGATAGTAAGATGGGTGTGGTTGAGGATTTGGGTATGACTGTGGTTGGTCTATCATCTACGCCCTCAAGAGAAAAGAAAATATTTCTAGCACATTTTTAAATTATTAAGGGGAGTCAGAAATGACGTCGGATGGTACTACTAGGGTTAAACAAATCGTTGGCGAGCAGTTCGACGCGTTGATATTAATCATAATAGAAGAATTGATGAGAGAGAATTCCTAACATTTCTTGAACCTGCTATTAGAGATGAAACAGGATTATCTAGAATAATATTACTTCAGAATTTACAATCTATTGTAAGTTGTCTTTCTTTTAATTATTTTATTGAATTAAAATAGTCTTAATGAGTGTGTATGTGTGTGTGTGAGGATGTTAAAATATCTTCTGCATCCATACCCACTCACACCCACGCGCTTAAGAATCGCATTGAATGTATTTATATTGAATCTAAATTTATTGATTAAATTTCGATTTGGAAAAAGTGAATTGAAAATATAAACTAGTTCACTAATTTATTCTTTGTATATCAAAGTTTTAAAAAAGAAATCTATAATTTTATTATTTTTCGTAAAATAACAAAAATTATTTTTGAATGAAATCTTCTGAAGAATGATGAAATTGTTGAATCCATGTTGTATGATGTTGTTTAGCAATTGTATTAGTTATAGGTGAAGTATAAATTTTGTCTGTATATGTAAGAATATTTTCATTTCTTGCTTTAATACAATCAAAAAAAATTTCCATCATTTGTTCAATATTAAAATTTGGATAATCAGTTGAATTAAGTAAATCAATAAGATAATCTTTTTGAAAATGAAAAGCATCATAAATTTTTCAGATGGCTTAGAACATCTTTAAATTTAGTTTAACTTAATTCAATATAAACTAAATTTTACTCTGCTATAAGAAATACTTATAAAAATTTGATCTGTGATAGAATACATACATAGAATTATCTAGTTAATGTATCTTCAATGATTAATCTATTTATAATTCTAGTAGAATATAATATTCTATTAATATATAATCTCATTTTATTTGTGTTGTTTAATACATATAAATAATGTGATTTTAAACTTTCATAAACATCATCAGATCAGAAATAAATTCAGTTATACTAATTCGAATACAAAAGAGCATAGAAGATGTATGAAAAACTAATACTATATAATTATTTAATGAAATATTTTAAACTATAGAGGTATGGAAAAACTTAATTACTAAAATTAAGTCAAACAGGAAGAGAAATACCATCATCATCGAATGTTTCGTTTATTTTATTTGAATAAGAATTAATCAAAAATTCATTAGAAAGAAAATAATAATGAACAAATTATGTTACATCATTAAAATAAATAAATATTTTGTTTGTTACAATATTATAAATAGAAGTCATTTGAGATCAACAGTTCACGCGAATCATTATCATTGTTAATCACATATTGTATCATCCTCTATAATATTAAGTAAGAATTTCATTTAAAATTAAAATTGAATCATATTCATTAATATTTAATGTAGAAATTGAAAATCTCAAATATCAGTATATTGGAGACAAAAAAAACGATATTATCATATTTAAAGTAAATATATTGAAAGTGACAGTGTTACTCTAATATTCTCATCTAGTTGTTATCAATAAAAGTTATTCATTCTTGCAGTTCACAATTTTTAATGTTTTTGTTGCGATGATATTTCAAAAGTTACCTTTTCATTATATAATCTGCCGTATTAAGTGATAAAAATAGACTTCAAAGCTTCGTATGAAAAAACTCAAAGATTTATTTTATAGATTAAATAAGAAAACAACAGATGTAACTATAAAATGAATTATTCTTTGTAGATTGTAAAACTATTTTATGTTGAATTCTGTCGTATATTTACTATTCTTTTCAAAAGGATAGCAAATGATAAAAAGAAATTTGTTCTTCTTTATATAAAAAAAACAAGATTTTGTTCGAGACAATAAAAATTGATAGCATATAACCTTGTTTTTTCTTATCTCAAAAATAAAAAAGTACATTGTGAGCTCTCCATAGGTAGTGGCTTGTTTTTTTCACTTCAGTGTGAGAGAAACTGCACTTGGAAATGTATATATTTGAAAAGGAGGAAAAGACTGCTTCGAAAGAAAAGAACAAAAAGGAACTGACTCCCAAAAAATAGAATACGAACATATATCCTCCGTATCAAGAACAAAACAACGAAAAAGAAAAAGAAGCAAGAACAATGTGATTGCTAACATACATAGTTATTAGTAGAATTTTGTCATAAACAAAAAAAATGTTTTTCGATTTCTTCTACTATCGAGCAATGTTTTGATTCTCATTGAATCATGAAGCTTATCTTCATTAAAGTAGATAGGGAGACTATTCATTTCTTCTACCAATTTCTATTCAAAGACATGGCAATGGCAAAAAACAAAACACTATGTTTTACATGTAATAAAGATAAAATAACATATCTATGTGAAGGATGTTTGAAAAACTTTTGTTTAATGGATTTAACAAAACATCGTCAAATATTAAATCAAGAACTACATCATATTATTACTGATCACCATCAATTTAAACAAATATTTAATGAACAAAAACCGAATTCACATGATCTTTCTTTAATAGATCAAATCAATCAATGGGAAAAAAGTTCAATTGACAAAATTAAACAAAAAGCAAAAGATTGCATAGCAATTGTCGTTAAATCTTCACAAACATTTAATGATATTGAAAAGAAATTTAATGCTTTATCTGAACAAATAAAACAAATCCATAAAGAAGATGAATTTAATGAAATTAATTTAAATTATTTAAAAAATCAATTAATAGAAATTACAGAAGAATTAAATAATCCATTAGATATTTCTATTCAGCAAGATTCACAACCATTCATTAATGAAATTTCAATTATTTTATCAAAAAGTAAGTTTTTATCAAATAATTTCTAAAAGAAAAACCGATCGAAAATATTATTTTATTAAACCGATAAGAATAGTATAAATAGAAATAGAAAAAAAACTAATAAAGATAAGAAATAATATTTGATCAAGTATTATTTTCAAATTTTGTTAGTTATCTTAAAGAGTAAACATTCGATTTTGTAATGATCATTGGGTGGGAATGAAATCGAATAACTGCACACACCCATTCACACTCGAGATTATCTTCGAAGTTTTTATCATTTTGTTTTATTTCGATTAGTTTATTCGATTCCAGTTGACTAATTTGTTTTATTACTCATTTTCTAGAACCAAAATTTAATAAATGGAAACAAGATGCCATCACTGTGGCTGGTGGAAATGGGAAAGGACAAGAACTAAATCAACTCCAATGCTCTCTTGGAATCTTTATTGATAAAACGAAAAATATTTTCATTGCTGATTTTTGGAATCATCGTATTGTTGAATGGAAATGTAATGCAAAGCAAGGACAAATCATTGCAGGTGGAAATGGCAAAGGAAATCGAATGGATCAATTAAATCGACCAACAGATGTGATTGTTGATCAACGAAATCATTCAATAATCATTGCTGATTCTTTAAATAGACGAGTAATTCAGTGGATGAATCAAAATCAACAAATTCTTATTAAGAATATTGACTATTGGGGCTTGGCAATGGATAAACATGGATTTCTTTATGTTTCCGATTATAGGAAAAATGAAGTGAGACGATGGAAAATGGGAGAATACAATAAAGGAATTGTAGTGATAGGTAGAAATGGAAAAGGAAATCAACTCAATTTACCTCGCTTTATATTTGTTGACGAAGATCAATCTGTTTATGTATCAGATTGGGGAAATAATCGTGTGATGAAATGGAGAAAAGATGCAAAAGAAGGAATTGTTGTTGTTGGTGGGAATGGTGAGGGAGGAAACCTCAATCAATTGTCTTCACCCGAAGGATTAATTGTTGATGATTTAGGTCAAATCTATGTGGCAGATGTTGGGAATCATCGAGTAATGCGTTGGTGTGAAGGAAAAGAAGAAGGTGAAATTGTTGTCGGTGGAAATGGTCAAGGAAATCAAACACATCAATTGAATCGTCCCATGGGTTTATCTTTTGACGACGAAGGAAATCTTTATGTTGTTGATTCTTGGAATCATCGAATTGAAAAATTTGAAATAATTTTGTAAACGAAATTTTTTTTGAATAAAAATCGAGAAATAAAAATAAAAGAAAGAAGAAAAATCTTTTTATTTTCTCCTTTTTAAAAATTGCATTTAATATGATAATTATGATTAGAACATTTCAATAGATAAATATTAAATTCCTCATCTATTGTTAATTTTTGTCGAATTTTATAAAAGAAAATATTTTTGTATGACAATCATTTTGATTGAAGATGTCAAATACCAGAATATTGGAGACAAAACAAACGATATTATCATATTTAAAGTAAATATATTGAAAGTGACAGTGTTACTCTAATATTTTCATCTAGTTGTTATCAATAAAAGTTATTCATTCTTACAATTCACAATTTTTAATGTTTTTGTTGTGATGATATTTCAAAAAGTTTTCAAAGACCAATTGATTTTATAGATTAAATAAGAAAATATTTGTTATCCTTTTCAAAAGAATATCAAACGATAAAAAGAGATTTCTTCTTCTTTATATAAAAAAAACAAGATTTTGTTCGAGACAATAGAAATTGATTTCATATAATCTTGTTTTTTCTTATCTCAAAAATAAAAAAGTACATAGTTAAGTTTCACTTCCTACATTGAAGATGTGTGTAAGTGTGACTTTTTTTAATTATACCATCACTGCACTCTTAAGATATTACATTAGTTTTATTATTCGAATCTTGTCATAAAAAAGCAATGTTTTTATTCTCATTGACTCATGAAATTTATATTTATTAAAGTAGATAAGGAGGCATTCATTTCTTCTACCAATTTCTATTCAAACACATGGCAATGGCAAATAACAAGACACAATGTTTTACATGTAATAAGGAAAAAATCACATATCCTTGTAAAGGATGTTCAAAAGAATTTTGTTTAATTCATTTAACGGAACATCAACAAATATTAAATGAAGAATTAAATCATATTACTAATGAATATAATGAATTTAAACAAAGAATTAATGAACAAAAACAAAATCCACAAAATGATTTATTAATAAACCAAATCGATCAATGGGAAAGAAATTCAATTGAAGAAATTCAACAAAAAGCAAAAGATTATAGAAAAATTGTCATTGAATATTTACCAACATTCTTTAATAATATTGAAATGAAATTTAATGATTTAAATGAACAAATAAAACAAATTCATGCCGAAAATGACTTTAATGAAATAAATTTAAATTATTTAAAAAATCAATTAATAGAAATTACAAAAGAATTAAATAATTCATCAAATCTATCAATTCAACAAGAATCACAATCATTTATTAATGAAATTTCAATTATTTTAGAAAAAAGTAAGTTTTTAAGAAAGAATTTTTAGAAGAAAAATTCTGTTGAAGAAGAGAAAAAACAATTGAGAATATTATTGATCAATAAGAATAGTTTTAATAGAAATAGAAAATAAAGTTTATTGATAAATAGAAGAGAAAACTGACAATATAAAAAATAATATTTGATTAAAAGTTATTTTCAAATTTTGTTAATTATTTTAAGAAAAAATCAACTAATTAATAAAAAACAAATTTTTCAATTATCTTAAAGAAAAAAAATTTGATTTTGTAATGATCCCAATAATAACTCATCATTCGATTTCTTTGTTATTTTTATTGGATAAATTATTTAAAAATAAAATGTGATATTTTATTCTTCTGTTTATATTGATAATCAATCTATCTTATCATTCAAATAAATAATTTCGAAATGAATATTGGATGTGGGAGGGTATGAATGAAGTTGAATAACTGCATGCAACCCCCCACATCCATATCCTCAATATTATTTTAGAAATCTTTACCGTATTGTTTAATTCTTCTCTTTCATTTTGTTTTATTTCGATTAGTTTATTCGATTTCAATTCACTAAGTTGTTTTATTAGTCGTCGTTTACCATTTTATTTTTTCGAAAACATTTTCCTTTCTCAAATTATTATTTAATAAAAAATAAGTTAGCAAAACTTTGTTATCATTTTCAATTTGTTTTCTTATGAAACAGAAGATTTTTTCTTTTATTTGATAAATAAAAAACTTCGAATGATTTATGTTCTTTTTTTAATAAAATTCTTTTTACAATTCAATAAAAAAATCGAATAGAATGTGCGAAATTAATCTTCTTTTTTCTTCGACCAAAAATAAAATTTTCTAATTTTTTTTAAATGTTTTGTTTTCATAACTTTAGAATCAAAATTCAACAAATGGAAACAAAATGCCATCACTGTAGCTGCTGGCAATAGATGCGGACAAAAACTAAATCAACTCAATCTCCCTGACGGGATCTTTATTGATAAAAACAAAAATATTTTCATTGCTGATTGTGATAATGATCGTATTGTTGAATGGAAATGTAATGCAAAGCAAGGGCAGATCATTGCAGGTGGAAATGGACAAGGAAACCGAATGGATCAATTGTGTCTACCAACAGATGTGATTGTTGACCAACAAGATCATTCGATCATCATTGCTGATCGTGGAAACAAACGAGCAATTCGATGGTTGAATCAAAATCAACAAATTCTCATTAATCATATTTGCTGTTATGGCTTGGCAATGGATAAATATGGATTTCTTTATGTTACTAACACTGAGAAGGATGAAGTAAGACGATGGAAAATGGGTGAATATAACAATGAAGGAATTGTAGTAGCAGGTGGACATGGAAGAGGAGATCAACTTAATCAACTCAATTATCCTAATTTTATCTTTGTCGATGAAGAACAATCTGTTTATGTATCAGATCGAAACAATGATCGTGTGATGAAATGGAAAAAAGATGCAAAAGAAGGAAAAATTGCAGCTGGAGGAAATGGTTATGGGGCAAATCTCAATCAATTGTTTCATCCCCAAGGAGTGATTGTTGATGACTTGGGTCAAATCTATGTAGCAGATTGTTGGAATGATCGAGTAATGCGTTGGTGTGAAGGAAAAGGGGAAGGTGAAATTGTTATTGGTGGAAATGGAAAAGGAAATCAATCAAATCAATTGAATCGTCCGTGTGGTTTATCTTTTGATGATGAAGGAAATCTTTATGTTGTTGATTGTTTTAATCATCGAACTGAGAAATTTGAAACAATATTATGAACGAAATTTTTTTAAATAAAAATCGAAAAACTATAAAGAAAAAAGTCAAGTTTTATTGTTGAAAATTAATGCAAAAAATCGAATAAATTCTGAAGAAGAAATATTTCGATAAGAAGAGAACGAAGAAAAAAATTTTTTTAATTTTCTTTTCATCAAAATTGAATTTAATTTGATAGTTTTTGTTTATTTTTATTACTCTTTAATCTATAATCACATTTCAAAGCAGAATTTCTTAAGCAAAACTGCTATTAGAATAATTGAAGAAATAATCGAATAAATTATTCAAAATGTTTCTTATTAAAGTCTAATTAGTTAAAGTTGATAAATATTTAATAGAAATGATTAAATTTCATCATGAAATCAATATTGAAATCTATTTTTTAAATATTCTCAGATTAATTTATCTAGAATAGATGTAACTAAGAGGAAGTGTCTTTTGTTCTTAAAGATAAAGTTAGAAATATTTCTATGATTTAAGAGGGTGTGGGTGGGTGTGGATACTATGATGGTAAAACCCATACCAACATTCATCATCAGTCTGATAAAGTTGAAAAAATAAGGGAATCTCTTGCTCATATTTATTATAAACTAAATAAATCTAAGCCACAAAATCTTCTGGAAATGATGCTCTTTTGATTTCTTCATTGTTGACGTCTTTGCAAGATTCAAAATATTGAACTTTTGAGTAAATATTGCCTAACTTATACAATAATAGAAGTATAATTTTTGACAACGACTGATCTAGTAAAATAAACGAGCAATGTTGGAACCTTCATATTATTTTATGTATATACTGCCATCTTGAGCAACGGGTATGTGAATTATATTCATCTTTCACCCTCCATTCTATGTATTGAAATTAAAATATTTATGATTTATCTCAAGTCAAGTAAACACTTAGAAAAAAAAGCAAATAAATTTTATCTCATTTGTTAGTTTACGAGATAAGTAGAAAGTCGGCCTCTAAAAGTGCAGCTGCAAACGTAGAAAAGTTAATATGCCACACACGAATCAGTACTATAATCGTCTTAAATGTGTTATAATGTTTCAATAAATAATATATTTTCATTTGTAAGTTGTATTGGAGTATCGTTTTTTGTAATTTTATCGATTACGTGGGAATCTTTTCAGGTGCTAGGCTGCTCTCTCTACCATTACTACATCATACAATCGAAGACATCGATCGATAGATGTGTATCTAAGTCAGACCTCTGAAACGTTTGCTCGCTGAGCAGCAGGAATTTTTATTTGTTATGTAAAGTAACTACTCAGTTAACTGCAACAATCGTTCGTAGATATTCATATTGTGTCGTGTGTGAAGATGTGAGCAGAAGTATGATAAAAACAACACCTTGTTCTTCTTGATACCGTACTTGTAGAACGTTTGTTTTCTCTGATCATAGTAGCAGTATGACGGATTGAAATCTTTCATTGTTTGGCATGAGTAAAAATAATTTGAATGCACTTAGTTTTATATTATGATATTGGTTATTTTGCAGTTATACTACACGACAAATAACAAACAACAACGATTAGATTTATACGAGTGATGAAATTCAATTGCTATTGGTATTTACTGGCGTTTTGTTTGATAGTGGTGAGTATAATTTATATATTTAAATGAATAAGTTATTCATTATTTAAACAAGTAGATTGCTACTAATGTTAATTGTGAAATCGTTGATCAGACAGCAAGAGCTACAGAAATTGGTAAATATAATTTGATCCTAACGAACTTGAGTCATATTTTAAATATTCTTTGCTACAGCTAAAGCTTGTGATGGTGATCAGTCCATTGATATCATAGTTTTTAATCGTACATCAAACTCGTTCAAGTGCCAGATTTCGTACGATTGTGAACTTAAAAATCATGCTAATACATTGGCAATATTCAAGGATGCTAAAATTGTAACACAATGCACAATAAGAAAACAATCGCCAACTAGCAAGGAAAAAACCAAACTTGAAATCGCATGCAATCCTATTACGGGCTATGCTGGAAAAGACTGGAAATTTGTATTGGGTAGCAAATCTGGAGTTAATCAAACTATTGGCAATGAAACATTTACTGTCACACTTGATCCATTACTTTTGACGAAGCTACCTAGTTTTGATATTACACTTGGTGAAGAAATCACATCGGCGTCAATCGTTATACCCGATTGTTCTGATATTTCAGAAACTAAATATCTGAATTTTCAATGTTCGAGCGATGACGATGTAAAGAAACCAGTTACTGACACTTGCCAAGTTACATGCCCAGTGAAATCAGATTCCACTTACAATATATCATTGATTCGTCTTCCTATACCAATATATAATAGAAAGGAAATTGTCAATGGTACATTTCCAGAAGAACGACGCCTCGAAACTATTCGTATAGGTAAGATACGAGTGGAGTTGATCGAACTAGTAGACAACATTCTCATACTGTTCCATCTATATCAAACCGAACTAATATTCTTCACATTTTTATGTTATAGGTAAATCTTGCCAGAATGTTCACTCAACTGCTATGAAAGTGATGAATCGGACATCGAGTGTATTCATGTTCAACATTTCGTACAATTGTTTAATTACAAATTCTGCTAAGTTAGCTATGTTTAAAGATGACAATATCGCAAAACAATGCAAAATAGATTTGACTTATTTACCGAGGGTTGAGAAGACTAATGTTATAGTTACATGTGCTAATATTAGCAATCATGCTGGTCAGAAATGGGCATTTTCATTTGGTAGTATGAATGATCACAAAACAAATGTTGCCAATGAAACATTCATTGTTTCACTCGAGCCACTTCCTTTGAAAAGCCTACCAAAAGTCCAACCAACAGTTGATGAAAACATTACTTTAGCGACGATATTTGTAGAGGGATGTAATCAAGTAGCAGAAATGACACATCTCTAGTTTCGATGCAGATTTGGTGAGATTGAAAGGCAATGTCTTCCAGAGAATTGTACATTTACATGTTCGGTAGAACCAGCTCGTCTTTAAGATGTACAAGTCATCCGATCTTCCATTCCAAAATATGATGGAGCACAGACTCCGAACGGTACATTTCCAGAAGAGGTACTATCTGTCGTTTTCAGCACAAGTAAGACCAGGTTTAAAGTGTTTGTTTTGTATTGATGGAACTATTTAACATAAGTTCATTACTATATTATCTTGTCGAATTTTAGAAGTAGATAAAGCAACCAACATTCGTATTGAATTAAGCGAGACAAACGATAGCGTGGCATTGATTCATTTTACACGACCTCGTGATTTTTTCGATGAGATTCGTATCGACTGTTTTGCATCTGATCAAATCTGTACGAATACAAGTGCCGTTCTAACGGGCAAAGTCAATAGTGCCTGTACGAATTGCACTCATATCACAATCGCTCCAATACAAAATGGTATCGAATATAAATGTTGGGCAAATGTTTCCAGAGTAGGATTTAGTTCGATAAACTACAGTGCTATAGATTTCAACATACGTAAACACATCTAAGCAGTATATCAGTTCTTAATTATGTGTCTTCTTTTAATAGCATTAAAACCGGTACTTTACAAACAGACATGCTTGTCAAATACCACCAATATTAATGTCGATGTTATTCCACAAAGCGACTTTCATCATATTGAATCAGTATGCAAAGCAAATCATACGCAAACATGTGTATGCGTGGGCATCAAAATAACTCATAGTCAATGTACAACAACGTTAACATTAACTTTCAATGCTATTCCTGGGTGTGATTATCGATGTTTTTTTACAACAGTAAAAGAAGGTTACATAGATGTACATTCAGAAGAATACACTATGTGAATTTGTAAGTAACAAGAGAGCATGTGGGTGTAAGTGGGTGTGTATTCTTTCTATGCACTCCCGCACTCATACTCTCTTTTCTATTCTTAATAAATATTTTTAAGTGTGGTTATTCAACTAGATCCTCGGCAAAAGAAAAATCAATCACTACTATGGCTAATTAGTATCCCCATTGCGATCATTTTCTTGCTTGGTGTTGGCTGTATTGTGTGGATACGAAAGATACTTCACAGACGTCAGTCTACAAGTCGAAAGTAGGATAGTTATGATGATCTCTTTACATTTTATTCTTGTTTGCTTAATTTTATTGCAGGTCAAGACCAGGTGATATTCAAGCTAAAGTCACTGAGTGAGTGCATACAATAATGGTAAAGGATCGGCTGTATTCATTAGACGGAACTGTTCTTTTATCGATTATCGAAGGATTTTTTCTTCCAAATAAAAGACTTTTTACTCATATCAACAATTAGCGAAGAATTTTATAAGAACAAAATTTGTATAGAATAAGTTATTCTGCGGTGTTTTTTTTTGCTGATCGATTGAAGACTCGATCATCATTACGTTTGAAATCTTTCTTTCTTTTACAGGTTTCAACGAAAAGAATGGTAGAAGAAATCATCGACTTTGTACTTGTTATAATACTTTCGATATTACATTGCCAAGGTTTAGAACACTAAACATTTCACTTTTATTTAGTTCTATGTATGCGTCTGTGTTGAAAGAAAATAAATGTCATAAACAATACCTAGATAGAATAAGAGGGAAAGCTCATCAATGTTGTATAATACTAGGGAGAGTGTGGGTTTGATCTTAATGCCTGAGCTACATCCGGGATTTTGAA